GCTGTACGGTTTCTTCCTCTGCAACTTCTGCACTGTTCATGGGAGAATATTCCTAGTCTTGAAGAGTGCCTGCCAAATAGCCAATGACCGGTTACACAAGCCGTGACCATCGCAGTATTCTCTCTTGAGAGGTTGAGCAACTCTGCCATCCTTTTGTTGTATCAATTTATGGCCATAATAGCCTGGTTTTTCTACAATTGCCCTCCTCTAGCCTTTTAACCCTTTCGGGACCGTAAGCCTACAATTAAAAATATACACGAAATGGAATATTTGGAACATATGTCAGCACCTTAACCTTGAGGGAAATATTTCTTGACCTTGAGGGAATTATTTCTACTAAAAATTTTATTGCTCTTATATTGAAGTCGGTAAAAAAATCCAATTTTTCCTAAAGAAAAGTTAAGGGGGAAATTATTTTTTACAATTTAATTTGGAAAGTTTTTTCAGATTTTGGTAAAATTATTTTTTTTCTAAAAAAAATATTTCTTTTTGTTATTTTATCACTTATAACAATTATAATTATTTTTGTTTTAAATTATTGTTGCTCTTCCATAATAAGTTTTTCATTAAAAACGGCCTCAAGCTCAATAAAAATTGTTGAATAAAAAAGATTTCTTAAAAAAAATATTTTTAAAAAACTACTTTTTTTCCTAAAAGTCTTGTTTTTCTATCTTAAGCTCTTAACGGTATATTTTTTCCTAGGTTTATTTACTAAAAATTGGATTTTTCTAAAAATTATTATTTTTTTCTTAAATTTTTTTTGTAACTATTTTTTCTTTTTAAAATTATTTTTTACAATTCAATTTGAATAATTTTTTGCTGCTATTGGTAAAAATATTTTTTACTAAAAAGATTTCTTCCTAAGAAATGTTTTCTAAAAAGTACCTTTTTTCAAATTTTTTCTTTTACTAATTTTTTTTTTCTTAAGTGTATATTATTTTAAGTTTTTTTTTTTATAATTTGTGGGAGATTTTTCTAGTAAGTTCATCAAAAATTCCGAGCTAGAGCGGCAAATATATCGATGTCAGTATCGATATATCGAGTAATTGGATTTTTTTTTCGATATCGAGTATGGCATAGCCATTTTCTCATTACTTATTTTTGCGCCAAACAACATCAGTGACTGATTTAATAGACTAAAAACCTGCATCCCAATTTTTTTTATAGAAATTCTTATTAAAAAGTTCGCAATTTTTAAGACAATTTTTTGGTTTTTTTTTTCTAAGTTTTGCAAAAATTTTACAATTTGGGTTTATATGGCTTTTGTTACAGATTGAGCTATCTATATATATAAAAATGAAATGTTTTTCGTATGACGGCGATGCCTGACCAAACGGCTGAACGGATTTAAATTCTGTAAAAAGCACCTCTTTGGACCTTCTGTGTGGAAGGTTCTTTGATTTAAAAAAATTTGAATTTTTTTTAACGATTTCACTATTTCCTAGAGTTTTCCGTATATTGAATGTCACTAAACTACTAAACGGCTGGACCGATTTCGTTCATATTTGGAACATATGTCAGCACCTTAACCTTGAGGGAAATATTTCTTGACCTTGAGGGAATTATTTCTACTAAAAATTTTATTGCTAGGTGGCGCTGGGGTCGGGATATTCATAAAAATTGCATTTACTTGCCGATTTGGCTCATATTTAGAATATATGTATGTTAGCCAATTGAAAATGCATATTGGGACTGAAAATGTACACGATAGGTGGCATTGTGGATGATATATTCCTAAAATTCTTATACACTGGGATAGTGATAAATATCTACTATATATTTGTGAAAGTATGTATGTATGTATGTACCCAGTGGGCATTAGGAGCACGTAATAATACCTTATTAGCAACTTACTCTTCACCTGGCAGTCATTGCCATTTCCCTGCCGAACGTCCCTTACTTTTACAAAGGCATGGCCGCCTTATGTAATTAGGAATTTAGAATGTACATTTGGTATCAGACATACTTCTGAGCCGCTTTACAAAGTAAGTTACGTGTAATGCAGAGAAGTCGCTCGGAGTAGTTCGGCGCTTGGAGATAACTTCGGCTGCACGTTACTTTGCAACTGACAACGTAATGTGTCGTTGGAGGTGTTCATTTTGTGCTTTACTAGTAGATGACATTGGCCATGATGACAATTTTGGTACTAAAAACTGAAAGAAAACATGGCTTACCTCGTAAGGTGCTTACCTATTTTCCCAGTGGGTATGCGCTAGGTTGCAGTCTAAATGGTCGGACAGAATCGAACAAAATTTTGACAGAGTAGTGCCATAACACCTGCGACTATAACAGGGTGATCTGACAAGGGGGTGTGGCACCTCCCATAGGCGTGAAATTTTTAATCAGCCAATAGTAGGTGCTTATAGGAGGGAATGTATAAACGAGTTTGTAAAAGGGGTCGTGGCACATCCCATAGGCGTGGAATATTTTATCAGCTATAACTTCGGCGCCATGTGTCACATGAAATTGAAATTTAGTATGCAGACGTATCTACGGTAGGTGCTTATAGTAAGGTATATACAAATGAGTTTTTGAAAGGGGCGTGGCACATTCCACAGGCGTGAAATATGATGAAATTTGGTATGAATTCATATCCATGGAAGGTGCTTATAGTTAAGTTTGTTTACATGAGTTTGTAAAAGGGAACGTGGGGCATAGGCGTGGAATTTTTAATCAGCCATAAATTGGGAACCATAATTCACATGAACTTGAAATTTGGTATGCAGACATACATATATATGGGAGTTGTTTAGAGTAAAGTATATATAAAGGAGTTTTTAAAAGGGGGATACATATGTATTCATCAATTATGTATATCAGTCGGATATTTAAATCTGTGTCTTACAGTTTTTAGACCATTTCAAAATGGAAAGATTAAATCGTTTTTATTTTGATCCCGCGATGCTGTTAAACGAAAAATGTTCATTCATAACGAATAAATCTCCTTCCGAAATAAGTATTCTACCGGAAAAGTGGCGCTATTCTAAAACAGCTAAGCGAATAGGCAGATAAACGGAATGTATAGTTTGTCTCCTATAATTTATGCTAAATTGAATATTTGTACGAAATACTGTTTTATATTTTGATTTGTTTACCCCGAACGACGTCGGGTGCTCTGCTAGTACTTTTATAAAAAAGTAATGAAAAAAAAATATAGAATGAAAAAACATTGCGAATACTGTAATAATATCACTGTGTGATTTTGAGTGTGGGGCACCGTTCCTACATACATATGTACCTCATACATATGTGTATGTATANGCCATGTGTCACATGAAATTGAAATTTAGTATGCAGACGTATCTACGGTAGGTGCTTATAGTAAGGTATATACAAATGAGTTTTTGAAAGGGGCGTGGCACATTCCACAGGCGTGAAATATGATGAAATTTGGTATGAATTCATATCCATGGAAGGTGCTTATAGTTAAGTTTGTTTACATGAGTTTGTAAAAGGGAACGTGGGGCATAGGCGTGGAATTTTTAATCAGCCATAAATTGGGAACCATAATTCACATGAACTTGAAATTTGGTATGCAGACATACATATATATGGGAGTTGTTTAGAGTAAAGTATATATAAAGGAGTTTTTAAAAGGGGGATACATATGTATTCATCAATTATGTATATCAGTCGGATATTTAAATCTGTGTCTTACAGTTTTTAGACCATTTCAAAATGGAAAGATTAAATCGTTTTTATTTTGATCCCGCGATGCTGTTAAACGAAAAATGTTCATTCATAACGAATAAATCTCCTTCCGAAATAAGTATTCTACCGGAAAAGTGGCGCTATTCTAAAACAGCTAAGCGAATAGGCAGATAAACGGAATGTATAGTTTGTCTCCTATAATTTATGCTAAATTGAATATTTGTACGAAATACTGTTTTATATTTTGATTTGTTTACCCCGAACGACGTCGGGTGCTCTGCTAGTACTTTTATAAAAAAGTAATGAAAAAAAAATATAGAATGAAAAAACATTGCGAATACTGTAATAATATCACTGTGTGATTTTGAGTGTGGGGCACCGTTCCTACATACATATGTACCTCATACATATGTGTATGTATAACAAAATTTTCTGTGTTAAATGGTTCTATGCATTCTTTGAATGAGTAGATGTTTTTTCAGTGTTTCATTGTAGAATTAAAAATTAACGATATATATCGATATCGATGCCGCCAAGTACAGATTTTCAGAAAAAAGTTAGTTGAGTTATTTGTCTTCAATAAATTATTGCATACGCCATTTGAGAATTGTAAGGATACACTGTATAAATAAACGACATCATAAGAAAAACGGAATTAGAAATTGTGTGAGCTTTTAATTTTGCATGCTTCTAGACGCGCTGTTAGCTAATTGAGCAACAAAGCGTTAGCAACAAAGTAACTACTTTTTGTTAATAATAATATTCTCAAAAACAATGAATGAAGCGCCGATATTTATGCTCATCAATATAACCTCTTCTAAGTAATGCCCGCACTTGTTCCTATTTATTGTAGATGACAACTTTTCTTAAAAGCTATCTGTAAGGTCCGGGCTACACAACCTTTTCTTGATAATCAAAATAAATTTAGAAGTTGTACATATGTTAACGAATGTACTGTCAGTGTCAAAAGTAAGCATACACCTTGTTCTAATATAATATTCACAATTATTTTCATTAATATTTTTTTTTCTTTTCTTTTATACTTAAATTTAATTTAATTTTCTTAAAATTTTTTTAGAATTTCTGAATACAAAGTTTATAGTTTTTATTATAATTTTTTGATTTTTTTTTGAATTTTCGCGAAGTTTACATATATAAAGTCTGAAATTTCGACATACACATATTTATGTTTTATGTTATAGAATGAACTTTATTTTAATAAAAAATGAATGAAAAAATTTTTTCATGAAAAAAGTGAATATTATATTAACACAAATTATATACTAACTTTTGACACTAAGTGTAATAGTTGTTAATTGTTAAATTTTTTCTTCTCTATTTTCAGAACCCTCCCAGTCTGAAGCAACTTCGAGCCTGCGTGAAAAGTTAAAGATTTCACCCCACTAAGTTTTCCCAACTACTCAAGTCAACTAAATTTTGTTTTATACAAATAACCATAATTTTCCATAAATAAATATGCGCTAAGTGTTTCAAACCAAATTTGTATGCGTCGTCGTAAGTGAAGTCATAAAACGGAATCAAAGTTTCAGCATGTAAAAATAAGTGAAACAAAGTAAGGGAAGAAACGAAACGAGTTGAATTAGTAAGAAACTTTATTGTGATTTCATAAATAATAACTTAGCGCCCGCGAAGAACAAAAATAAATAAAAGCCAAAAAGGGGGAGGAAATCGTAAAAAAAACGAAGAAGAAGAAGAAGAAACGAAAAGTAAACAAATTGTTATATAAGAAACGAAAAATAAAACAACAACTACAACTAATAAATAAAATGTTACACGAACCACAAGTCAAACGAAAAATGTCGAAAGGGAGCTGCCACAATGCCAACAGCGGCTTCACAGCCGTCGCAGCGACGCAAGTCTTCCTCGTACTGACGCTGTTCGTGATTGGGAATCTAAGTGCCTGGCAGGAGAATGTGCGGCCGAAACTTTATGTGGAATTAGGTAAGTGGGAAAAGAAAACGAAAAACATTGGGAAGGGGGGAGGACATAAGGAAACGTTTGAGTGTATGTTTATAACTTGATTGCGTAAGTAATAAGAGGGGGGAAGGGGGTTGGGTAGGCAAGTGTGCTCCAACTACCAAAACAGTCGACTTACACATGTCGCTTGCCATGTACGTTTGCCTAAACTCTAGCCCATATTTGGCGGCCACACCTTCTTTAGCACACCAGCCGTTTGTTGTGAATTTTTGTTTTTTTTTCCTTCTTTTCTCTGGTTGGCAATTAGCGTTGTACTTCCGCGCTTGCGTTGTCAGTATTAGCGCGTGTCAAGTGTGTCGGCGGCCCTTTTTTTATGTATATACATATAAGTGTGTCTGTGTCACATCCGACTACATGCTACATTGCGCTGTGGCGACAATCACGCACATTGCCTTCCACTGCGGCTTGTGCCAATTTATGAAATATGTGAAAATTAAATCGTAAATAAAATACATAATGAGCAGCAACAAAAATGCAATAAACAGTTACGGTTATGTTGCTATGCCGCCTAAAAGCGCTACGCTGTTGTCATATTTTCGCAAACAACGTTGTCGCATCGCCGCGCCGCGCCGCGCCGCGCCACTTCATGGCCGTAACATGTATTTTTAGCAGCAAGGCCATAACGAACGCGAAAATACTGCGGTAGTCGCATTTAATTGCGTGCAATGTACGCGCGCACGTACGCGTTTGTTTGTTGTCGTTAATGCACATTTATGTTGTCATCGACAATGGCGACATACAACAGAGCAGCGACCAAAAGCCAGTTAAGAGCAACACAAGCGGCGCGGCGGCAGTGACAGTGACAAGGAGAGCAAAGGCGCGCAAGACAAAGTTACACGCGCGCACACTCAGATTGTAGTCGATGGTGAATCTGCAATGCAATAAAATGCAATTCCACCACAAGCAGCAAAGCGTTGTTGTAAGTTGCACACCGCGTTGCACGGCCGCCGCCGCCACCAGTGCTTCATTTATGCATTCACTTGGACGGCCACACATTTTAGTCAACCAGCCACACTCACAGTCGTGGTCTGTTGCTTTGCTCATCGCTTTGCCTGTCAGCCTATTTATGCATTTGTGCTTGCTCGTCGCTTTTACAGAAATGGAAACCGCAGGCGACTCACGCACTGTCGCCCTTTATGGGCCTATTACCGGTACCGAGTTTTATATATCTACATACATAGATAGGTCGTTGAGGTGCATCGAGAGTGCGCGCGCGCGCTACGTTGCCATTGTCAATCGCTTGGTCTTAATTAAGTTCAGCGGAAATGCGCATAATTTGAAGTCGTTGATCGTTAAGATGTAGATACGTACGCACATACCTACTTGTATTTATATAAGTCCTGGTTTTTGCTGCTGTCACGCGTTTGTTGCCATATACGGCAAACGTCCATATTTCGATCATTATTTACTTACTTACATACATTGTTGTGCGCGCCGCAGCAGCGGACATGCAGCCAATCAACCAATGTCGCATGTCCGGTTACATTGCATCAAATCGCCTTTGGTTTTCGCTCCTCTTTATCTATCCATCCATTTTTGGCTGACCGGCTGGCTTGTCATATCTATTTTTTATTTATTTTTGGTCGCGTTCGCACAGGCAGTATTCTGAAGCTGTTGCATGCTACATACATACATTGCGTAAATAACGTGCAATTTTTGAGGCAGAAAATTGCTTGAAGTGGCCCACAGTCAATGGAAGCGCGCGACTTTGGTGGTCGGGATAGCTAGCTGAATGTTTCGCCTTTTTCGCATGTGTAGGTTTTTGAGCAGGAAATGTTTGTGGTTAATTCATCTGCCAAGCATTGCTCGTTTCATGACGTTCCATTTCCTTCTTAACATTTTGAAGTTGGTTGGTGGTAATTGGCACTGCCAATTAGTTGCTGAAGTAGTGAAAATATGAGAAAAGCTGTCATATCGATCAATCTTTTTCATTGTGAAAAACTATAGGATCTCTAATGGGTCCGCCTTTTTACCATTTGCAGCTCGTAGTCCGCAAGCTGGGCATGGTAGTACTACGCTCATTAAAGATTTCGCTACTAGAGCTTCTTTTTAAAGCCATTCAAGTGTTAATTACCTTTGAAGTTCTTTACTCGTCAAAATCTTGCTCAGACCTCTCCAGCTGCTCGTCTATTCCATCTCAAACGCATGATGCTTCCATGTCCTGAATTCGTCTTCATTATGGTATTTGTACTCGCCTTAGTCTTTGTCTTCGCATTCTTCTTGTTTTTCTTACGCGAAATAATATAATACAACTATTGTCACTTTGTGTTGGAAATGCATAAGTACAGTAGGACTAAAGTGGTTTCTTTAAAATGCCGCATTTGTTATCTCTTAATTGCTTCACGTTCGGTAGGCGTTTAAGTGAAGCTCCAAAGACTACATTCCATCTATACCGAAACATAAGATGTATCTACATAAAAAAAAGTATTCGACTGTATCGAATGGACTCATTGAATTCAGATATCCGTGCAACTGAAGGCCGATGCTAGAAAGCTTACTAATCCAGCGCCACTTAGTTTATGAATACACTATCCAACAGAATTTACGCTGATATCTGCCGACGTCTGTCTTGTCTCAAGCTACTCCCGCGGATCGGATCAATACGTTAATCACCTTCTTTGAACTACGGATAGCTATTACCAATTGGAATTGAGGAACGGATTCACTAGACATTACCCAGTCTAGATGCATATTTATGTAAAACCTCTAACCTACTATGGAACAGTCCATCAATCGTTGCCATTTTTCTGGCTTTTGAATAAGCCCCCTTACGAAAGTGCCTTTTGGAGATTACCTTTGATTGGATTGACGCTAAAACCTTAATATCGGCAACTACAAACAAAACGTCGAATATAATATTGAGTCTAAACTGGTTTAGGTAAAAATCTAACTCGCCGTGCGTTCATTTCAACCTGTTTTTGATATTTGGAAGTAGAGCGTTTGTCCATCTTCCCAATGATGATTGTTTTATTTTTTCGGATAATCTTTCAATTCTTTACTTTGCCGCTGAACTTTAGCTCTTTCCTTAGTTAATATAGTCGAATCGGTGTTGCATCTGCCATTACAGTTGCTGCGTTAGCTGAGTTTACACGACCTCATATAACCTGCGGTAGGATTCGATTTCTGTCGATTTAATGCAGTTTGATGCGACGCCTGGGCTCGTGAGTTTGTATACAGTACATGCTTTTCTAAAGGAACCTGGGTTTTTACAACTGCTTGTTACCCATCCCTCAGGTTATCCTACAGGTTTTCACAAGCATATGTTCTTCCAACGAAGTGGTAATTCAGTACTTTTACATACTTTTGATTATTCATAGTGATCCACCTATATACGTCCACCATGTGGGATGCTTTTAGCACAGATTTGCCCCTCACAACTTCATGTTCATTCTCAATTCCATATTACACATATTTCCAATCTGTCGACCTCTTGGGCCAACTCAGTCCTCCTTGTGATCTGATAGAGAATGAAAGGATCCCCTAAATTACCGCATGGATTTCTGGGAAACTGTGTACCGGTAGTTGTTTGGTATTCTATAACTTATCCTTCCTTATAATAATAATATACGAGGTGGGTATTAGCGAGGAGTTCTTAGCGTAATTCTGTTAGTCTTTTAGCAATAAGTTTTCTAAAAATAAAAAAAGTATATATTTTTTTTAATATTAACAACTAAAAATTAAATGAAAATTAAATCAAAATATAGTAAATAAGCAATTAAAAATTAAGTTAAATAAAAAAAAAACATTTTTCCTTTTAAAACAATAAAGTCTAAAAATTAAAAGGAAATTGAATTAAAAAATAATATAACTTTCTTTTTAAAATAACAAAAATTTCAGAAGAAAATAAAAATATACAAAGAAATAAATTTAAATAAAAATAAAAAAATAAGTGCCTAAAAATTAAATGAAATAAGAAAACGTTTTTCTTTTTAAAACAATTAGATTTAAAAATAAACAAAATGAAATAAAAAAATGAAGAGTAGTTAAATTGAAAACATAAAAATAAATTGCTAACAATTAAATCAAAAATATATATTTTTCTCTTTAAAATAATAAAAGTTTTAAACTAAATCAAAATTAAATAAAATAAAGAATATAAGTTTCTAAAATATATTCGAATTAAAAAAAATATATTTTTCTATAAAAAAAAGGAATCTAAAATTAAAAAATAAAAATAAATTTAAAAAGAGAATATAAATAAATAAAAATAAATTACATAAAAAAGGAAAAAAACTACAAACAAAACAAGAAGAAAAGAAGAAATATGTTTATAAAAATTTATTGAAATGAAAAAAAAAAATATTTTTTTAACAATAAAATCAATAAAATAACAACGAAATAAAAAAATAAAAAAATTAACGACAAAATAAAAGAAAAAATAAAAAAAATAAAAGAAAAAAATAAACCAATAAAGAAATACATATGATAAAAAAATAAAATAAAATACATTTGCTAAAATTAAATTAAATGAAAAATATGTACATATATTACCTGTTTAAAACAATAAATAGAAAAATTTAGCGGATGAAAAAAGCTACAAAACAAAAAAAGAATATATAAGTTTCTAAAAATGAAATGAAAAACAAATTTTTTTTAACAATAAAATCTAAAATTAACATAACAAAAGAAAAGAAAAAATAAGAAAGATAGCAAAAAAAAAATAAGAAATAAAAAAATTAAGGAAAAAAAAGAATAAATATATACATATAATAAAAATAAATAAATCCATTTCTATAAATTAAATTAAATCAAAATTATGTTTATATATTAAAATAAGAATATTAAGTGTCATAAAAACATTGTTAAAAAAGGAAAAAAACCAATGCCCGAGGATTCGAACCTCAGCTCTCTAGAATGAGGCGCCACTGCTTTGCTTTCTCGGCGGCGCAAGCAAAATGATTCTTCACTTGGAACATGCTCATGTGCTTATTTTGTCCACTGAGCTTTTCACCATGACAGTTGTC